CCACCTGGGGACCCCTGGGGGGTCTGGACCCTCATCCCTGTCCCCGTGTGACCCAGTCAGGGACCCTCGGTGGGGCTGGACCCTCATCCCTGTCCCCATGTGACCCAGTCAGGGACCCTCGGTGGGGCTGGACCCTCATCCTTGTCCCCATGTGACCCAGTCAGGGACCCTCGGTGGGGCTGGACCCTCATCCTTGTCCCCATGTGACCCAGTCAGGGACCCTCGGTGGGGCTGGACCCTCATCCTTGTCCCCATGTGACCCAGTCAGGGACCCTCGGTGGGGCTGGACCCTCATCCTTGTCCCCATGTGACCCAGTCAGGGACCCCCGGGGGGGCTGGACCCTCATCCCTGTCCCCGTGTGACCCAGTCAGGGACCCTCGGTGGGGCTGGACCCTCATCCCTGTCCCCATGTGACCCAGTCAGGGACCCCCGGGGGGGCTGGACCCTCATCCCTGTCCCCATGTGACCCAGTCAGGGACCCCCGGGGGGGCTGGACCCTCATCCCTGTCCCCATGTGACCCAGTCAGGGACCCCCGGGGGGGCTGGACCCTCATCCCTGTCCCCATGTGACCCAGTCAGGGACCCCCGGGGGGGCTGGACCCTCATCCCTGTCCCCATGTGACCCAGTCAGGGACCCCCGGGGGGGCTGGACCCTCATCCCTGTCCCCATGTGACCCAGTCAGGGACCCCCGGGGGGGCTGGACCCTCATCCCTGTCCCCATGTGACCCAGTCAGGGACCCCCGGGGGGGCTGGACCCTCATCCCTGTCCCCATGTGACCCAGTCAGGGACCCCCGGGGGGGCTGGACCCTCATCCCTGTCCCCATGTGACCCAGTCAGGGACCCCCGGGGGGGCTGGACCCTCATCCCTGTCCCCATGTGACCCAGTCAGGGACCCCCGGGGGGGCTGGACCCTCATCCCTGTCCCCATGTGACCCAGTCAGGGACCCCCGGGGGGGCTGGACCCTCATCCCTGTCCCCATGTGACCCAGTCAGGGACCCCCGGGGGGGCTGGACCCTCATCCCTGTCCCCATGTGACCCAGTCAGGGACCCCCGGGGGGGCTGGACCCTCATCCCTGTCCCCATGTGACCCAGTCAGGGACCCCCGGGGGGGCTGGACCCTCATCCCTGTCCCCATGTGACCCAGTCAGGGACCCCCGGGGGGGCTGGACCCTCATCCCTGTCCCCATGTGACCCAGTCAGGGACCCCCGGGGGGGCTGGACCCTCATCCCTGTCCCCATGTGACCCAGTCAGGGACCCCCGGGGGGGCTGGACCCTCATCCCTGTCCCCATGTGACCCAGTCAGGGACCCCCGGGGGGGCTGGACCCTCATCCCTGTCCCCATGTGACCCAGTCAGGGACCCCCGGGGGGGCTGGACCCTCATCCCTGTCCCCATGTGACCCAGTCAGGGACCCCCGGGGGGGCTGGACCCTCATCCCTGTCCCCATGTGACCCAGTCAGGGACCCCCGGGGGGGCTGGACCCTCATCCCTGTCCCCATGTGACCCAGTCAGGGACCCCCGGGGGGGCTGGACCCTCATCCCTGTCCCCATGTGACCCAGTCAGGGACCCCCGGGGGGGCTGGACCCTCATCCCTGTCCCCATGTGACCCAGTCAGGGACCCCCGGGGGGGCTGGACCCTCATCCCTGTCCCCATGTGACCCAGTCAGGGACCCCCGGGGGGGCTGGACCCTCATCCCTGTCCCCATGTGACCCAGTCAGGGACCCCCGGGGGGGCTGGACCCTCATCCCTGTCCCCATGTGACCCAGTCAGGGACCCCCGGGGGGGCTGGACCCTCATCCCTGTCCCCATGTGACCCAGTCAGGGACCCCCGGGGGGGCTGGACCCTCATCCCTGTCCCCATGTGACCCAGTCAGGGACCCCCGGGGGGGCTGGACCCTCATCCCTGTCCCCATGTGACCCAGTCAGGGACCCCCGGGGGGGCTGGACCCTCATCCCTGTCCCCATGTGACCCAGTCAGGGACCCCCGGGGGGGCTGGACCCTCATCCCTGTCCCCATGTGACCCAGTCAGGGACCCCCGGGGGGGCTGGACCCTCATCCCTGTCCCCATGTGACCCAGTCAGGGACCCCCGGGGGGGCTGGACCCTCATCCCTGTACATCTCAGAGGGGATGATGTCCAGGGCTGGGATGCTCTGGGGCCAAGGCTGGCGTGGGGCAGCAGGGACCCATTTATGGGTGATGCCACCCCCCCTCGGAGGTGCTGGCAGGCATCTGCTTCCCCCCCCTTGCTGTCCCTGGAAGGGCTCTTCTGCAACCGGACCTTTGACATGTATGCCTGTTGGCCTGATGGGAGCCCTGGCACCGCTGTCAACGTCTCCTGCCCCTTCTACCTGCCCTGGTTTGAGAAAGGTGACAATCAATGATCCTCTGCCACCCTGGAGCTGGGGCTGAGCCATCCTGGGGGGAGGAGGCTCTTGGGGTTTCCCCTCCTACCCACGGCCAGGGGGAGAGGACCCACGAGCAGACCTGGGAGCGAGCGGACACATGGGTGTAAAAGCCCCTCACTCCTGCCCTGGAAGAGGGTCTTTGGGGCTGAGCAGGTTCTGTGACCCATCAACCCAGGAGAGGGGTTTGGGGGAGCCCAAAGGGGGGACACGCCGGTGCTTGGTGTCCCCAGTGAAACACGGGCTGGTGAGCAGGAGGTGCGGCCCCGACGGGCAGTGGGTGACGGTGAACGGCAGCCAGCCCTGGAGGGACTTCTCCCAGTGTGAGGAGGAGGAGGAGGCCAGCATCCAGGAGGTGGGACACCCCGACCTGGCTCTGGTGGCTGGGCAGGGCCCAGCAGGGACACACACCCTGGGCCCGGGCTGACTGGTGTGCTGCTCCCTGGCAGGAGGGTGCCCGCCGGCTGATGATGAGCTTCAGGGTGCTCTACACCGTGGGGTACTCGCTGTCGCTCCTCACCCTCATCTCTGCCCTGCTCGTCCTCACTGTCTTCAGGTAGGAGAGCTGGGGGGGGGACACACACACGGCCCTGCCCCTCCTCCTCCCTGGTGGTCCCTGCCACCCACCTTGGCTCTTGGCAGGAAGCTTCGCTGCACCAGGAATTACATCCACGCCAACCTCTTTGCCTCCTTCGGGCTGCGGGCGACCTCGGTGATGGTGAAGGACGCGCTGCTGGAGAAGCGCTGGGGTGTGGAGCTGCTGCAGGTGGCAGACTGGGAGGCCCTGCTGAGCCACCAGGCAAGTGCTGACCCCCCTGACCCCCCCCTGGCCCTGGGGAAGGGGCTGCAGCTGGGTGCTGGTGCCCAGGCAGCCCCAGGCAGCCAGTGGGTGAGCTCTCGGGTCACCCCAATGCGCCTGGGTGAGGCTCTTGGGGTGCTTGTGCTGCCCGTGCACCCGGTGGGTGAGCACTTGGGGTGCCTGTGCCCCCGTGGGTGAGTTCTTGGGAGACCTGCACACCGGGTGCACGAGTTCTTGGGGTGCCCATACAGCCAGCGGGCAAACTTTTGGGGTGCCTCTGCTGGCCGTGCACCCAGTGGGCAACCTTTTGGGGTAGCTGGTGGGTGAGCTCAGTGCCTGCGCAGCACCGTGCACCTCAGGGATGAGCTCTGGGGGTGCCCGTGCACCTGATGGATGAGGTCTCAGGGTGTCTCTACTGTCTGTGCAAGCTCTTGGGGTGCCTGTGCCCCCATGGGTGGGCTCTGGGGGTGCCCGTGGCCCCGGGCCCATGTTGGTCTCCCCTGGCAGGCAGCGCTGGGCTGCCGGGCAGCGCAGGTGCTGATGCAGTACTGCATCCTGGCCAACCACTACTGGTTCCTGGTGGAAGCTGTCTACCTCTACAAGCTGCTGATCGGGGCTGTCTTCTCTGAGAAGAATTACTACAGGCTCTACCTCTACCTGGGATGGGGTAGGGGCCACCCGGGGGTGGGGATGGATGGGGTGTCAGCCCTGGGAGGATGTGGGATCTGCTGACCCTGAGGGTGCCCACAGTGTTCCCCCCCCCCAAACCCAGGGCTGGTCTCCCAGCTCAGGCAGGTGCTTGGTTTTACAGGGTTTGCTGTGTGACTTGCAGGGACCCCCGTGGTGTTCGTGGTGCCCTGGGTGGCCGCCAAGTACCTGAAGGAGAACGCGGAGTGAGTGGGGAGGGATGGGGGGAGAAGGGTTGGGGTGTCCCCATCAGGCTGCTCAGCTGGGGAGCAGGATGGAGGCTGGGGGGGGGGGCCGCCGCACCCCCCCTGGGCTCTCCTCCCCC